CAGTAACTGAGTGATCAGTATGGAGACAGTTTTCAGATAAGTCATGTGAGATGTATAATTGTGACATAATTCCTTGCATCAATCTTTGGATCTGAGTGGGTTTCTGGTCAGCATCAGTTAGGTAGAGGCGGTCCAGCTTCCCAGCCATGCAGAATTAGGTAAAAGCAGTACTATAAAGTTTTCTCACAATTCCCAAAATTGAATAAAGTTTTTTCACAAGACAGAAATTGGACTAGACCCATAATTGGATAGAAAGGGAACTGAGCAAGATCCAGAATTGAGTCAAAGGATAGTCAGTGTGGTTTATTCAATTCCCATAATTCCCTCACATAGTACATGATATATAATACACGATTAACACAGATTTATTAAATAAAGTAATTCAACAATCAAAACTCATTAATTTAGGATAAATATTGGGAGGGGTTATAGTCTGTGGTAGGAAAGTCCAAAATGTGGGATTGTTATAAGGAAGTAGAATGTTAAATGCCAGTATGCCAGTAAAATTGTAACAAGTAGAGTTCCTGTTAACCTTGTTTCAACCTCTCATTTCCTTTCAGCTCTAACATTCTATGAAGATATAAAATCATTTATAAATGATGCATTGTAGATAAGTTGAATGATACTAAATTAGACTGAAAACATTTGTCTGCTAAAATAAATATCTGCACCACACTCATGATCACACTGTTTAGTGACCTGCCAAATGTTTTGTTATAGAGGTAATGCAAAGGTAGATTTAACCCCTCATTTCAACCTTTCCTCAGCTCTCTATATAAAAATAAAATATATAAACTATATAATAGTTTAAATATATGAATGTAGTTACTGTATTTGTATATATAGGAATATAATTGTTAAGCTATATTTTGATGATAAATATAGAACAGTTTATGTTAAGTATTATATCAAATCACACATACCCTATACACATATATAAACGATTTCATCATATAATATCATTTGACAAACATTTGATAAAAATATTTTGGGGTTGGAAGTTGCTAAATGTTATTATAGTAAGTCTGAGTGAGGTTTCTAGAATGTCCTGGATCTTGACTGTGGAAAGGTAAAGAGTCTGTTGTGTCCTCTAGTTGCCATGGTTACCTCTCAGGATTTTAATCCCAAGCATCCCTTTATTTTCAGGCTGGACTTTAAGAATGTCCCTCAAAGAGTTGATTTGTTTTTTAGATGCTATTATTTGTATGTAACAAGACAGTCTGCTTCTGACACAGGTAAATTACCCATGTGGGCCCTTCAAATCACTGTTACCTCCCTGGGCCCCCATTTCCTCATTTGTAAAAACAAACAAACAAAAAACAAAAACATACAAAAAAAACATAATCATGTTTAAATGTTGAGACCTGAGAAACTCCTCATTTTGGACATAGCTTCTAACACTGCCACAATAAAATTTATAAGGCATATTAAATAAGAATTCTTTCTGAAATAGTAATTTTTAAATAATTGCATTATTGATATTAAAAGAAGACACAAGGGATCTGCTTTATTTCCTTTATTTCATCATATTTGTACCGTAGGATGATGAGCATTACAATGTATTATCTTGACGTCCTGAAGAATGCCGAATTTCTTTTTTGAACCTGATTTTCAGGCACAGTCCTGTGCCCCGATAATTCTGGAAAGGAAACTGGCTTGGCAAAGATTTACTGCCGTCACATCGAACACACACATGTTTTGCTTCTTCTTGCTATCTGGTAGATCCAAATACTTGAGGCTACTCATGACTTTCTGGAAAACTACGCTTGTCAGTTTTCTGAACTCAGTGAGTTCAGGAGTGCTAGCGCTATCCATACTGCCACAGTTCAACTTCATTTATTTTTTGTCCCTCTGGATGTGAAGGACACATGAAGGGGCCAACAAAAGCCATGGCCATTTCCCCCCAGCTTCAGGGTCAGAAGGAGGTGCTAGTAGTTTTCTGAGAAGAGTAAAGGCCCTGTCCTGCAGACAAGCTCGAATAAGGCTACCAAGGTTTAAGGAGTCACTTTACAATACAAGAGCATTTCACCCTAAAGGGTATGTATGAACTTAAAACCTGTGCTCTAAGGAACCCTTGAGGACATTGCCACTTCCTTCAGCACAGAGTTTCTAGGGCATCACTCCCTTTTCTAGTGGAAGAGGTGTTACAGTGCCCCTCATTTCTGGGATTATGTTCCCACTGGGCTCCAGGGCCTCTATATATACCTCCCAGAGGGTGACATGCCAGCTTGCCCAACAATGCTGCTACATTGTGACATGATCATTACCCGGGACAGTCATTTTGACCAAAAATGGTCATCTTAAGTTTTACCAAAAATATGATCTGACCTTTTAACCAAAAATGGTAATAATACTGATTTTAAAATATATTCCCACTGGGCTCAAGGGCCTCTATGCATACCTCCCAGAGGGTGACATGCCAGCTTGCCCAACAATGCTGGTTATATGACGGTTGGTGAGATGATCATTACCCAGGACAGTCATTTTGACCAAAAATGGTCATCTTAACTTTTACTAAAAGTATGATCTGACCTTTTAACCAAAAATGGTAATAATACTGATTTTAAAATATGATATGCCCTCAGTGTTCATCATACTATACTTGTCACTGTCCCTTAGAAAAAAAGTGACATAAATGAATGACTTGAACATTTAATGGCTTTTAAGGTTCTTTCTAGCTTAAATTTAATGAACATATTACCTACAAATAGTGGCCACAGCAAACATAGAGAGCTGAGACAGAAAGGCACAAACATTTAAAAGGAGAAACTGGAATAAAATGATTAGGTATGTTGGACACTAGAGAAACGCAAGCATTTGCTATCAAAGTTGAAATAGTAAAACATTAAGAACATGATTAGTGGAGAAATGGTTGTGGGGAGGGAGCCATCCCTCCTCATCCTCATCAACAACAAATGTTGACCAACTAACACCAGCAGTCATTCTAGATAGGCACGGTGGCCTTGGGAGTGGCCACGCCCTGCTTGACTATGGTGTACAAGGTCTGCTTCTAGCCCAGTCCTCCCAGTTATCGTCTGGGAAAGCAAGTCTTGTGGAGAAGGGGCCAGACATCTACACACAGCAGGCCCAGGAGCCTTGGGAAGAATAACACTTCCCAGTCTGGTGCCCTCACTCATTCAGGGACAGATCCCCTGTGGAGATGCGCCTGGCAGGAGCTCCTGCAGGGCCTACAGTGTCACCTAAGGAGGACCCAGAAAAGCAAGTTCTTGCCCCCAAAGTCTTTGGTACTAACCCTCACCCTAATTCCAATGGTTCAACATCAGAAAGTGATTAAGATTTTATTGGAAGAGGTATCACCATCAGCTTTGCTATTTCACCCTAAGCACCATGGGTGGTCCATTCAACTTGCAGCTCAAATGTCTCATAGGTGTTGTCTTTCCCATTAGAGCATGAGCTTTGTGGGGTGCAGTCTTACTTGACTAATATGATTTACAGTGCTTGGTTACATAGTAAGCCAACTTAGTCAATGCTTTGAAGATCCTATTCATTCCGGAAGTTATGATTTAAAGTGAAAGGATATCAAAGAACTGTGAAAACCATTGGCCTTGATTACTATATATTCAGAGAGTCGAAAAGTTAGCATGGTAGAGCTGAGTCAGGAAGTCACTAGTTAAAACCCACCTCTGAAGCTCATCTGGCCCTATTTAATAACCCTCAGTGCCTCCTGCAAACTCCCTAAGCCAGCTGATCTACTTTAGTGAAGGGATTTTCCATACAGAGAGTTCTCTATACCAGTGAAATTGCACGTCCCTTTCTAAACGACAGTGGAGAAAAGTACATGCAAATTGGAGATTTCATTTTTTTATTTCAACATCCAAGGATACCAATTGACCAGGCAGAAAGAGCTTTGAGAACCAAAGACATGTAACACATAAAAACATTAACAAATACCATGAAGAATATAAAACAGCAGCAAACCACGTACCTTTTTCTTCAAAGTTTGGTCGCTTAGATTATAGGGAAAATAAAAAAAAACAAGGTTGAATGACTAAGACAGAGGTACAAATTGGGGGTGGTACGCTAATATGCCCTTAAATGAAGGCATCTATAGTTCTAAATATTCATTATGGAAACAAATAGGAGATTTGAGGTGTTTTATTTTTTGATAAAATTTAATCATTTTGTTCTGAATAGCAAAATTTACTCCATGTCTTCAATGGATGATTTGTAGGAATGAAGATCAGAAAGGCTCTTCAAAGATCACTGTGGTGTGATGATGATAGTGATGGTGATGATGATGATGATGACAAGTAGAAGAAGAAATGTATATATAGTGCTTCTCACGTCCTTGCTGGGCCATGCATTTTTATCTCATTGGATTGTCATAACCTTGAGAGGTAGGTGCTATTATCATCTCCATTTTACATATGAGGAAACTGAGGTAAACAGAGGTTAAGTGACTTGCCCAGGGTCACACAGGTGGTAAGTTATCTGAAGCTTTACTTTAAACTCAAGTGTCCCGGGCTCTGGGGGGAGCCAGTGCTTGATCCACTGCAGTGCCACCTAGCTGCTTCTATACCAACTCCCCCTTCCTATGTATCATAGTGGCATGATCATTGTTGTCCCCACTTAGCAGCATAATGAGGGAGGGAGCATATGTTAGTGAAATTGTCTAGATTTGTAGTCATGAATACCTGGTCTCTTATGTTTAATACTAGGCTATGTGATGACTCTGATCAGGTCGGTGAATAACATATTTTGGCATCAGGAACTCCTTGTATTCGCCTACTACATCACTGATTAGCTGTAACTTGTGTTGGTGGAGAGGCCTTGGATCCTTCATGTGTCTGCCTGTCCAACATTAAAGTCATGCTGGCCAGTCCATCATCAGCACACTGAGTGCTGACATGGATTATCTAGGTCACTTGGGCCTAATGAGCTCTGATCATTGGAAATGTTTTGAGAACAAGTTTAGCAACCAACATCCTAGAGTAAGCCCAAGCTAGGTTGTATTTAAACTCTATAGTTCAATGGCTAATATGGCGATGTTTTGTGTGGGTACCTATCATATTGCTTGCCTTCTCCATGGATGGAGGAGAGGCAAGAAAGAGAGAGAGAATTTGGAACTCAATTTTTTTAAATGAATGCTGTTAATAAAAACTCTATCAATGAAAATAGTCAATATCTCTTTACTCTAGACTACTCCTGACACCCTGGAAATTCACTTCAGTCCCTTGATTTCTCTCACACTAGCAATATCTGCTGCCCCTGCAGCCTCTTCCTCTAAGATTGGCCAGTGTCCTTCCAGAACCTCAATTTTAAGGAAAGTACTCAGGCCAGCCATGTCTAATTGCCCGAGTTCACTCAGGATTTAATCCCAAGTATTCCATTTTCTGGTTCTGGACATGGAGAACTCTCCATTATATCACTATCATGAATACACAATTATGTGTGGGACTGATGATGACTGCTTGGGTGGCAGGCTTTTTACATTCATCTATTCAGTTGTTTCTTCTCCCATTGCCATTCTGTGGCCCCAACATCATAAACAACTTCTATTGTGACATCCCTCAGGTTCTAAGACTGGCCTGTACTGACACCTCCCTCCTGGAGCTCCTAATTATCACCGACAGTGGGTTGCTTGTCATCATCTGGCTCATCATCTTGGTGTTCTCCTATACAGTCATCCTAGTGATGCTGGGTTCCCATTCAGGAGAGGGAAAGAGAAAGGCTGCCTCCACTTGTACCACCCACATCATTGTGGTGGCACTGCATTTTGTGCCTTGTATCTACACATATGCCCAGCCCTTCACCACCTTCCCCACAGACAAAGTCATTTCCATCAGCTACACAGTGATGCCACATATGTTGAACCCCATGATTTATACTCTACGGAACCAAAAGATGAAGTCAACTGCGAGACGGTTGTGGACACGACAGTCATTGCCTAGAAGAGATTGACCATCATGGTTCATGGGGAATATTTTGAGACAACCTATTTTACTCAGGTTCTCTCTCTTTAAGCTTTAGGCTTTAAAGAGTTGGGGTGCATATGAATAAGAGAACCAGAACCATACGTTGGTATTTAATTCAATAAACATTTAGTAAAACATCTTCAATGGGCAATGCACTGTGCTAATGCAAGGAATCAGAAAGATGAAAAATAAAGTGGTTCCCTCCCCAAGAAATTTGCCATCTTCTGGATGTTGGAATAATATACATACATACATACATACATACATATATTACATATATATATATTACACACATATATAATGGTGTATCATGTATATATAAACATATATATAAACGTAGTAATAGTATAATTAATAATACTTTGTTATCTGTATGTTAATATAATTAATAGTAATAATACATAGATATGTACATAATATATAAATAAATTTATAATGTATAATATGATGGTGTATGATATGTTACATATAATATAATACAATAATGGAATATACAATATGTAATATAATTAATAATACACTACATATACATAGATTAGTATGATGGGGGCGAAGGGTTAATCAAGGCAAAGGGTTCTAGGAAAATTTGGATAGGGAGGAAAAATTTTCACTGGAAAAGTTTCATAGAGGATATGGAACCTGAGTTGAACCTTAAAAGAAGAGAAGGGTGATGATAGGAGAAGAGGAGATGAATTTCCAGCACTATGAATAGCCCAGACAATGCTTTTCAGCAAGAAATAGCAGGTTGTGTCAAGGGTGAAGGAAAGGGCTACTCATGAAGTTTGTGAACTGGTGAGCAATGTGAAATAAAGCTGAAAAAGCACAGTGGAGTCAGATTGTGGAAGTTCTTAAATGTCAGGCTAAGGAGTTTGTATTTTGTCTTGTAGGCAATAAAGAGCCATGGAAGGTTTTTGATCAGTGGAGTGGATTAGAAAGGTTATTTTAGTAACTGTGTGAGGATGAATTGTAGGAGAGAGAGACCAGAGTTTGGGAGACCAGTTAGGAGATTACTTTATTGGTCAAGGTGATGAGGACATGAACTAGGAAAGTCAAAGAGTGAGTACAGGGAAAGGGACAAATGTAAGAGATGCTGGAGATAGGACTTAGCAACTGAATGGATTTGTAGGTTGAGGAAGAAGGAAGAATCAGTAATAACTGAATTTTAGGGTCAGGGTGCCTGGGAAGATGCTAGTATCATTAAGAAATTTGGAGAAGGGGCAACTGAAGTAGGAAGGAGACGAAAGGTTCAGCCTTGAATATGTTGAGTTTGAGAGGCCAGCAAGATATACAAGTGGAGACACAGAATCAAGGGGATCAGGGAGTTACTGGTTTTGGTTGGTTTATTTTTTGTAACATTAATTAATTAATTAATTAAAGGCAATTGGGGTTAAGTGACTTGCCCAGGGTCACACTGCTAGTAATCATCAAGTGTTTGGTCTGAGGCCAAATTTGAACTCAGGTCCTCCTGATTCCAAGGCTGGTATTCTATTCACTATGCCACCTACCTACTTTTTTGCACCATTTAGCAGCAAATGTTTTCTAAGTTGCGATTTTTTTTAAAAAAAAGGCTAGTGTTGGGGCAGCTAGGTGGCACAGTGGATAGAGCACTGGCCCTGAAGTCAGAAGGACCTGAGTTCAAATCCAGCCTCAGACCAAACACTTGACACTTACTAGCTGTGTGACCCTGGGCAAGTCACTTAACCCCAATTGCCAAAAAAAAAAAAAAGGCTAGTGGCTGCATCAGAAAAACAAAAAAATTCCACTCACAAAACTTGCGTATCTGAAGCCAAATTTAAGAAATAAAATTTTGGTGTTCAGTTATTTGATTCTTAGCCTCAAGGCAGAATGCAGAAACATAGCTTGTGATACTTCCAATATGAACTTCCAACTGGTAATGTGTTACACTGAGCCTGTGGGGTCTCAGGCTTTGGGTCTGATGCTGATCATAACATGTTCAGTGACAAAAACTTAGAAGCAGGTTCTTCCAGAAATCAATAACTTAAAGATGAAAGCTCCTGACACTCATCTCTTCATATGAGTTGTGATTTCATTTTTTCCCACTTCAGAGCTCATGGGTCCAGAGGCAGAGTGGCTAAGAGAGGATCAGATGAACTCAAGGTTGGAATATTTGTATCTTATCATACTTATGGCCTTGGGCTACAGTCTAAGATGTCCCCCTTACTTTGCACCACTCTCAATCTATACATTACCAGGAAACCACCTCTGTACAGCTGTACAGACAGCTATTATCTATACAACTAGTGGAGCTCCTAGTGAATTTGCACAAGGGAATTCATGGCTGAGGTATGTAACAATGACAAATAGGAAATAGGCAAAACCAAACAAAACAAAGGTGTTATTAAGTTTATGGTCTAACTACACAACTCAATTATTAACTATCTCAAGCTAGTCTTCAAAATTTAAAGTATCCTATATACATTCATTGAACAGGTGAATGTTACCTCAGGGCTTTTGTTCAATATTTCATATACTGGGGCACTAGGTGGCATAGTGAACAAAGTGCCAGGCCTGGAGTCAGGAAGACTCATCTTCCTGAGTTCCAATCTGGCCTCAAACATTTATTATCTGTGTGGCCCTGGGCAAGTCACTTAACCCTGTTTGTCTCAGTTTCTGTATGTATAAAATGAGCGGGAGAAGGAAATGGCAAACCACTCCAATATATTTGCCAAGAAAACCCCAAATGGGGTCATGAAGAGTGAGACATGATTAAAAAATGACTGAACAACAACAAATCATACACTGCAGTTTATTGCTTCTGTGAGATAGACCAGCAGGCAAACAGAAGATGATAAAAAAGATGACCATTCCAGATTCCTGGGAGACATTAGATGATGACAGATCAGGGCTGAGAGGGAAGATTAGTGTTGAACATGTACATTTTGGAGTCTTCAGAATAGAGGTACTAATTTGTACCATAGCATTCAACTGGAACCTCTTACAAGACCCGTCAAGATGAGGATGGAAATGGTGGAAGGAAATGGAAGATTTGTCTGGGTTGCCTGAGCAATAATTGGGAGTCTATATTAATGGTATCGCTCTCAAAAATGGAAAATTCAAATATTTATTAAGGACCTATAGAAAAGACCTAGGGAAGAGGATCAATAATAAGACATGGCTTTACTAAGTATGGACCTTAAAATGAATTGAATTTGAAGCAAATTTCTAACATACATCCTGGAGTCCTAGAGGTCCAAGCAGAGAAGACGCTTCTGTTTTGGGGAGCTAACATTTCTATTGTGGTTTGATTGTCCTTCCAGTTGTACTTGACTAGGCCATGCTTTAGAAGAACATAGATGAACATGCCCATTTGTAAAGTGTCCATGAATAAATACATAGCATATGAAGAAACACACTTCACCTTGGTTCTTGGATTCTCTGTGCGTTGCAGATGACTTAACTTGAATTTTGTATAGCACCCCCCTCCCATTTCTTTCTAAAACCACTTCCTATATGGACTCCTTTCTGGTTCAGGGATGTGACAAGTCAGTCTGGGAATTTAAATGTCTCTGGAGTAACTTTGGTTAATATTCTCAATGTATGATGTAACAGCTTGGCTCTAAGTATAAACATGAGAGGCTGTGGCTACTGACTTCAACCTTGAGCCTCAACACTTTCATACTACTCCTCAGGGTCACATGGTTCCCTTCTATTCAATTCATTTGAAAATATTTATTGATTACCTGCTGTGTTCAAGTCACTATGGTAGGAGCAGGGGATTCAGGACAAAAATTAAAGTCCTTGGGGAAGCTAAGTGGTGCAGTGGATAGAACACTGGCCCTGGAGTCAGGAGGACCTGAGTTCAAATGTGACCTCAGACACAAAACACTTACTAGCTGTGTGACCCTGGGAAAGTTACTTAACCCCATTGCCTAGCAACAACAACAAAAAAAAAAAAACTCCAAAAAATCGAAAAAATAAAGTCCTTGCTCTCAAGGAGTACACATTTTATTATGCTTAGTTGAACTTAATTATAAACTCCTTGCCCCATTCTGCTATACTCTTTTTTTTCTTTTTGGCTAGGCAATGGGGTTAAGTGACTTGCCCAGGGTCACACATTCAGTAGGTGTCAAGTGTTTGAGGACAGATTTGACCTCAGGTCCTCCTGACTCCAAGGTTGGAGCTCTATCCACTGCACCACCTAGCTGCCCCCCATTCTGCTATGCTCTTAACTGTTTCCTTCCTTCCCCTACCACTTCTTACTATATTGCTTTCACTCAGGGTTCTGATTTCTGCTAAAGAACCGTAATTTAATAGGTGACATTTGTATGGAACTTTATGGACTTTATTTTCCAAGTGATTTAATATAGAAGAGGCAGCACAGTGAAGAGGATACAAAGTTGGTCTGGGAGCCTGGAAGCCATGGGATCATGTTCTGCTTTTGATATCTAATTGCTGTGTGACCCTGGGTAGGTCATTCAACTTCTCAGTGCTCTAAGTAATTCTGTAAATTGCAGAGAAGCTGTTGACCTACACAAGGTAGGCATTTCCTCATCCTGCAGTTCCCTCTAGCTATGAAATCCAGGTCCTGATTAGGTACAGGCCCTATCCCTTTCCCCCTCACCATCTCATTTGTGCTCCACAACAACTCTGTGAACTACATAATATGAGTATTATTATCCACATTTTTCATATGAGGAAAGTAAATCTCAAACAGATTAAGCCATTTGCCCCAAATCCTGCAACCAGAAAGTAAGCAGAAGAAACCAAACTTGAATCTAGATAATCAAATTTCATATCCAATATGCTTCCTACTGTACTATTCATGTTGCCTATTCATAATGGAATATGAAAAGTGTCCATATCCATCCAGGTACCACATGCATTTTACCAGAGCCTTCATAGATTCAGCGATGAAGAAAAGGCCCCAATGATGTACATTTCAGGCCCTGTGGTGGGACAGAGGTCAAGATTCGGGAGACTGTGAACCTCTTAATCATATTTTCAGGTCAGGCTGGATCTATCTAC